CGTTTTAAGCATGTTTGTACTTCTCGAAGTCCTGAAATGAAAACCATTCCCTATAAAGTAGTCTTTTTTGTGATTGAGGCCCTCTATAGTTGAGATCAGTTTCTGGTTTGTTTTGACGTAGAGAACGCTATTGCGAAAGTTATTGTTACTGTTCGGTATTAACTGAAGTATATTCAGCTGTATGATGTGAAAATACATTTTGATTATTTTGGTGGGACAGCCACTATGTGGTTTTGGGCGCTGATCTGTGGCAATGTGTACAAACAATTGTGCTTTTATTGTTCCTAGTTTTGAATGTGCGAATTGATTTCTGATCTTTATTCACTTTTGTATGGTCAAAATGGTTTCACAGTTTTTTAAGAATTTCATAAAGAGCAGCTGTTACATATTTTATTGTTGAATGTTTAGTTTATTAAATAATTTTGAAATAGTTTCGTAAACTCTGCAAAAGTGTAAATTTATATCGATACAACAAGTTATTTGTAATAGGTCCCTATTTTCCTTATATAAGTATGTTATATTATAGCTTCGGAGTATAATTGCTGCATAACGTATATGTGCAGGCAGGGTATGTTTATAATATGAAAACGTAATGTATAATAATAAGGTTATTACGAGGATACAGTACGCCGTCGTATCGAGCCCTGCTGCGCATCGGTCGATATTCTAGCTGTACCTTTGTGCATACTTTGAGGTAACCTCGTAATAACCTCATATTGTAATATAAGAACATCGTTCGAAAAACATTCAAAGATACTTAATTCCATAGAATACCACGATGTATGGTTTCATGATTTGATTAAATGGCTGACTGGCAACTATGTATTTACATGCGTCCAAGCTATATCTCAGAAATTCTTTGATCTATTTTGTTTATACTTTGTACTGCGGTAAAACATAACTGTTCGCAAATTGTTTTCAGTTTCGACATGACAGACAGGTGGCCATATTTGTTTGCAACACTCAAATAACAATTCACATGCATATCATAGCTCATTTCATTCAAAAGTAAATATATTAAATGTCCAGTTATAGCCAAGTACATTACGCTATCGGTAGCTATGTAACACTACAACATGTACATTAGAAGGGGACATCCACATAATATATTCACATAACCAGCAAGACAATCACAAAAAGCGACAAATATTCATTTAAAAAGTTGATACACTAGAGTTCGAAATTCATATGTAAGCTCGCCAAGTAAATTACGGCATAATATAAATATTTTTTTATTCCAGATCAGAAACCTATGTGTAAAAGAATTAATATATTCATTCTTTTACACACTTTAGGTTACCATCAATTGTCTCAACTATGAGGGCGTCGGCAAGTGACCTGCAAGCACCTACATGTGATTATCCATTGACGAATGTGGTGTTCTTGAAGACTTACAAAACTGCCAGTACTACGGTGTCGTCAATACTTATACGTCATGGACTACGTAACAACTTATCTTTTGTATTACCATCGCACCATAATCCGGGATGGTTTTCTAGAACAGAACGTTTTAACAGTAAAATGGCGAAACAGTTATTGCCACCTCTTCCAGGCACACAGTATAATATGTTAGTTAGCCATGTCCCATTTAATAAACAAGCTATTGACAAAGTAATTCGAAACGCCACCTATATAACAATACTACGTCATCCCGTGGCTAACTACGAGTCAATTTTCGGGTTCATGAAAATTGCTAATTATTTCCATATTAATCAAAACACCAGTCAAGATCCTTTTGAAGTTTTTTTGTCAAACACAACGATGTATTTCAAACGCATTAATGATTCTTACCACAAGACATTACTCAGTAATAGACAAATATTTGATGTGGGACTTGACCTGAAAAATTATAACAATGAAACACTCGTTGATAATGTTATTCAGCAAGCTTCAGATGAGTTTGATTTTGTGTTGATTGCAGAATATTTCGACGAATCACTTGTTTTGTTGAAGAAACTGTTATGCTGGGACTTTAAAGATATTATGTATTTCCAACAGAACAAGAGAAACAACAAACTACGTTTTGACATTGATGACTGGAAACGTCAGCGAATATTGGAAATAAATAAGGCAGATTACAAACTATACCAACACTTCAATAAAACATTCTGGCGTGAGGTTGAGGCATATGGTGATAACTTTCATGAAGACTTGGCTACATTTCGAGATATGTTACTGAAGATACAATCTGAATGCGTGGACGAAGATAAATTTGTAATCGACTATAAAGGACGTAGGAATGCCACGATACTGAAAAATAACGCACCTACTTATTGTAACGATATTAGCAAAGATGGGTTTGACAATCTAGGCAATAAGCAAAAAGCAACAAGTTCGAATTTGACAAAAAAGCGAAAATTTACAAAACAACAAAAGAAAAAATCACATTAACACTTAACATCATGTAATCGTCAATCTCACATTTTCAATCACCAAACTCAAGGTAAAAAGTCAGTATTAATTTTGCATACTCATATCATTTACCCAACATTAGCAAACACATGACATTCATTCAGCAAATTCAATTGGTAAATAGCCGGCAAACTCGCTGAAATTTTGCCGGCGAACCCACGGCTTTCAGTCTGAAAACTCTTGGTATTCAATAGCAATATCACTGCATTCAATCAACACATTCAGCAACACACATCAAACTCATGATTCAGTCAACGAAACACACATAATTAATCCAGTGAGCTCACTATGTTTTTTCAGCAAACTAAACGTCATTCATTCAGCAAACCGACGATTTAGCTAACTCACCTGACATGTAGCAAGCAAACACATGACATTTAATCAGCAAATTCAAGGCATTGAACCTGCAAACGCACATTCTTCTGCCATTCAATCCACGGTATTTAATTAGCAAACTCATATCATTTAGTCAGTACATATCCAAAGCATTTAGTCATGTATACTCACTTAATTTTTCCCACTGTACATACCTTGAAACAGTGAGTGAATATTGGGCCTTAATGTATATACAAACCCTATTAATAATGTATTAGTAGATGTTCATGAAGACCAGGTGTACATGAGAACGCTGGTCAGTCAGTCAGTCAGTCAGTCAGTCAGTCAGTCAGTCAGCAGTCAGTCAGTCAGTCAGTAACTTGAGCTCCAAGCTGATTGTAAGGCAGTCTTCTGATGTCAAGAGTACAGTATTCTGTGATGAGTGGTATAATTTTGTCAACGCGTGCCACCTCTCAGTATGTCCTTTCATCATGACTCCTTGGAATTGCGTGAACTGATGTCAGGCATCCGACAAACTGTGTTGTTAGTAGAGAAAATGAGGTTTGCTTATCAGTAGGATGTATGACATTTATTGTACACATAACTGTTAATTGATAATAGTAATAAATGGTATCAATATTTGGGTGTCACTGTATTGTATTTTGGCATCACTGTCATTTGATTCAGCCAGCTGACTCTCGACATTCAGTTAGAAAAGTCTTGACATTCAGTCAGCTGACTCTCGACATTCAGTCAGCAAACACTATACATTCAGTTAGCAAACTTTATACATTCAGTCAGCAAAACTATATGTATTCTGTCAGCAAACACTTAACATTCAGTCAGCAGACTCTCGACATTCAGTCAGCAAACTGTTGACATTCAGTCAGCTGACTCTCGACATTGGGTTAGAAAAGTCTTGACATTCAGTCAGCTGAATCTCGACATTCAATTAGCAAACTCTATACATTCAGTCAACATACTCTATACATTCAGTCAGAAAACTCTATACATTCAGTCAGCAAACTCTATACATTCAGTCAGCAAACTCTACATTCAGTCAGCAAACTCTACATTCAGTCAGCAAACTCTCGACATTCAGTCAGCAAACTATATACATTCAGTCAGCAAACTCTACATTCAGTCAGCAAACTCTCGACATTCAGTCAGCAAACTATATACATTCAGTCAGCAAACTCTCGACATTCAGTCAGCAAATTCTATACATTCAGTCAGCAAACTCTATACATTCAGTCAGCAAACTCTATACAATCAGTTAGCAAACTATAGAGTACATTCAGTCAGCAAACACTATACACTCAGTCAGCAAACTATACATTCAGTCAGCAAACTCTATACATTCAGTCAGCAAACTCTATACATTCAGTCAGCAAACTCTACATTCAGTCAGCAAACTCTCGACATTCAGTCAGCAAACTATATACATTCAGTCAGCAAACTCTCGACATTCAGTCAGCAAATTCTATACATTCAGTCAGCAAACTCTATACATTCAGTCAGCAAACTCTATACAATCAGTTAGCAAACTATAGAGTACATTCAGTCAGCAAACACTATACACTCAGTCAGCAAACTATA